CCCCCCCCCCCCCCCCCCCCGCCGTATGCCTTTGTACTCTGTTCATAATTTTGTGGATATGCCTGGATACATGTCTCTGCATACGTGTGCATGGGAGGGTATGTAGTTTTTTTATATGTTATTTGTGTGTATGAGCCTACATTTATGCATTTTTATGTGTATGCACAGTTGGTGTGCCTACATGTGTGTGGCTGATTGTGCACAAATGCACATGTATGTTCTGTGTTTAGGGGCATACGCATATGCAAATGCATATGTAAGTTCCTTAAACCTGGGATGGAGATCTCTGACCTTCTCTTTGAAATCTCCTAGTGCAATGGTTTCTAAAAGACTGTCATGCATCAGGGGTATCTGTTGAGCTCCTTGGGCTAATGAGTACAAAAGGGATGTAAATTCATGCAAGCATCTAGCATAGTTAATGGGGTAGTAGATGATGCCTCTCAGGCATCAAACCTCAAAGTCCCTTTCAATTGTCCTTTTCTTTATCTTCACCATTCTCCCTAGTTCTTCACCAACTCCTCCCTGCCTATCCCCAACTGCATGGCCATCACAGCTACCTCCTTCCTTGTCCCTCTCACCACTGGGGCTCTTCCACATTGTCCCTGCCTGCTGCTACTGGAGTGCTTTTCTTAGAGTGATTTTCCTAAAACCATTTAATTATATGCCTACCTTCTGAAAATCAGTTTCCCAACCTCTGGAACAAAAATCTCCAGACTTTGAGATTTCATGGATAAGGAAAACAAATTTAAAATAAATCTGTAGGTAAACAGAGTGTCACAAACTTCAATTTTGCTGAAAATAGACATTAACATTTTTCTCAACCTTATTTTCTAAAAGGAGTATCATTTGAACCCCAACCCCATAGGAAGGATTCAATAATCACTAACAAAAGACTAGTTTGTTCAGTTAAATTAATTTAGATGTACAAAACCTGTATTATATTACCTTTCTTTTGCTTCCATTTCACCACAGATGGGTGAAAATTTTCATTAGGAACCCCCACTAAATGAGGACCATCAGCCCCCAGATTAATTCCTCTTCTCTGTGCCTCTCCCTTCCAACTCTGACTCTACACTTGAACCGCACCGTGAATTGTGCCTTTTCCTCAGCCCACCACTACCTGACCACGCAGCAGCTGCCAGACCCACTACCCTCCGCCAATCCTTCCTCATGCAGTTCTCGCTGCCAGGCATGCCTGGAATGCCCTGCCCCCCTTTGTGGACTGACAAACTCTTCTCTTCCTTCCACCCTCAGGCTCAACCCAAATGTGACCTCCCTCGAAACCTTTCCAAGTCCCTCTGGGTGGAACGGAGCTTTGCTTCCCAAGAGTCTCACCAAGTCTTTCATTCTATCTTAGAGTCAGACTAGTTATTTGAAAGTCTTCCCACCAGATTACACTGTGAAGAGTCACATCATATCAAGAAAGACATGGACTTCAGAGTCCAGACTGCAGTTGTGCCAACCATAGCTGTGTGGTCTTATAAATATCACTTAGCTATTTGCAATGTTCTTTCCCCAACCATCAAATAAGGAAAATACTAGATAACAGTAAAGATGTCCCAGGTCTGCTACATGCAGACGCTAAATACATGTAGTTGAGAACAGAAATGCTGCATTCCACATCCCCGTGGGTTCTGCTGTACTCCTGTACTTCCCATGAGGAGAAAGTACACCCTCAGCCAGTGTCTCCTGCCTGCCTGCCCATGTAGTCCAGGGCCTGGTATGTAGTGAGGCCTTGATGAGCATCTGTCATGGTGCCCAGTTCCTTTTTAACCATACGAGCCACACTCTCTATGTCTTGTGTAGCTCCCACGGTGCCTAGTACACAGTAGGTGCTTGCTATGTGTTGATGAAAATTAACATTAGTAATAACAGACACCATTATGTGTGTGGATGCCACATGCCAGCCATCATTTTAGAAACTTAACATATCTTATCTCTAATATTTCCAAGTATTTACTGTGTAAACAGTAACAGCAGCCCCCTTACCCTATAAGGATGGTTTAAGTATCTGCATTTTAAATCCAGGAAATTGCAGCCTAGAGAGGTCAAGTATCTTATCTTTGTGGCAGGCTTGGGAACCTAGAAACAAATTTTATGGGGAAAAAAAAAGCCAGCTAGCATACTTGTGTTCATAGGAAAGAAGTTTCACAAGACTGGTTAAATGACAAAGAGGAAACTTGAATCCAGGCCTCTCCCGCTCCAAGAGGCTTACCCATCCTCAGAAGCTGCTCACGCCTGTCCTTCCCAGCTACCCCTCAATGGTCACAGTTCCCGGACGAACCCGGGCCGAGTTGGGCTGCAGCTGAGCAGACACTTACCTTCACTTTTCTGAAGCAAGCCCAGAACACATCCAGCAGAGGCATGATGGGGATCGGGAAGCTGGTAGGGCTTAGCAGGGCTCTGCTGGGCAAGAGGAACCTCTCCCTCTCTAGGGATAAGGCTAGAGAAGACCTGAGGCTCTGGGAGAGCCTGCCTTCGCCCTGTGCTCCATCAGCCTGCACTGCTAGGGGAGAAGCGGAGAGCAGCAGCAGCCCTGTTCAGCTCGGCCCCTCCTGAAGAGTGAGGGGGGAGAAGGCTGGAGAGAGGGAAAGAGGGAGGGAGAGAGGCTGTCTAAGGAGGAGGGACCAGGAGGCGGGTCACTGATTCAAACTCCGCACCGTTAGCCAGTTGGCTGGGATGAATAGCACTGCCGATTGAAATTCCCCGAACATTACAGTTCCCCAGCCTGGTTGTCCAGCCTGTCTACTGGCTTACACCGCCCATCCTGCAAACTGCATGTTGGCAGTCCTGCCAGCTTGCTTCCTGGCCTATTAACTAACACACCAGCTCTCCCTGGGGGCCTCCAGGTACAATCAAGACCACAGAAACTGTGGAAGAGTGCAGGGTGGTGGTTGGGGGAGAAGGAGCCAGGAGGACCTCCTTCAGTTAAGGAAGGACCAGGAAGGTGTGAAGGCAGTGGGTGGAGGGGGAGTTTGTGGTTTTGGACCCCCTTCTCAGACGGGAGTTCTGGGCCTTGCTCTAAAGCCAGAGATCTTGACTCAGCCTGGCACCTTGCAGAGGCCACTTCTTTCTGGGCCTCGATGTTCCTGCTGTATGATGAAAGGCAGGGTTAGAGGGTCTCCATCTGCTGGATGACTCCTGTTTGGAGTTAGGTACAGCACAAGTCTGGGAAAACCCTATTACAGACAATTAAATCTCTCAGAATTCCCGAACTGTCCCAGGGAGTCCATAGGAAGTCAGACCACCCCCTGAAAGAACAAAGGCCATTTATCTATCCCCCTGCTTCAGGGCAGAGCAGCTTATGTAGGCTGGGTAAACATCTTTATCTGAGAATCTTCTGAAAAGGCGATGGCTTCCTACCTTTATCTATACCCATGCCTAACACTCTTCAAGTTCTAAAATCTAATATTGAACCATCTGGATACTCTGAAATCAGTTTTATCAGGAGTAATAGAGCAGTGGGCAGTTCGGGAGGCTTTCTAGGCAGGAAACAATTTAAAAACAGTGATCCTTGGGGAAACACAGCACACACCCATCTCAAGACCTCAGAAGGAAGGGTGCCATGGCTGCTGTCCAGAGGCTCCTGGAGACCTCATGGCAAAGATCCAGGCCCGGGTCTCTGGGGGAACATGTCACCATGAGACCCAGAATAGCTTACTCCCTCTGGTCTCATGTCTCTTTTAGAGACCAAATTGGTCAGGCAAAGGGCCCAAGTCCTGGGACCCTGAAATGTCCCAAGCTGACTTTGAGCAAGCCTCTGCCTGCCATTGAGGATTTTCATCAGCGGTTTTGTCCCGAGGTTTGTCCAGAGAGTCTGTCATTCTCCTAGCTCTCCTTACAACTTGCTCCGTGGCCCTCAGTTTTGCCATTTGCAACCCAAGGAGGTCGCAAGAACTGCTCCTCCCACCTTCTCCCTAGCTCTAGCCTGAGAAGCATCTCACATATGAGTTCTGTTGAGCCAGGACAGGAAGATAACAAAAGTCAAGCTAAGTAGCTCCTTCTCAGCCATCTCTAGGTAAGCACAGACTTAAAGGAGAAGCCATCTTCCATGGCATGGCAGAGGCACAACATAAGGAGCCAGGGCAGAGAGAGCACTTCCCTTAGAACTTGTGCCCTCTTTCCCTTCAGCCAGAAGCCGCACCTCTGACAACCACAGAGCAACTGCCTCAGAAGAGAGTGTGGCTGCCTGCAATTGCTTCAGTCTCTTGCTCCCTAGAGTTCATCCTGTCTTTAGATTCAGGCCTCTGGGAGGAAGAACATCTGCTGAGGCTTTTGGTGTTCATTCAGCAAGCAACAGTGTGCAGCATTCCGAAGTGACCTCAGAAAATAGAGACTTCCCTTTGACCTTCCACAGTGTAGCCTGGAAATTGTCAAGCCCATGAGCTCTGGAAATTGACCGCCCAGATTCCAACCCAGTTCTGTTGCTCTCTAACTGGGTGAACCGAGCCTGTTACTGCCTCAGTTTCCCCATCTACACAACAAGGGATATAAGAGTACCTACTTAGTTGGGAGGTTTAAGCTGAATGAGTTACATTACTTAGTACTACGTCCAGGATAATGTAAGTTCTCAATAAGTCTTATTCACTATTGGGAAAGAAGCAAATTCTTTGGAGCCTGACAGACTTAAATCTTGATTCTACTTTTTAGCAGTGTGCCCTTACTTCCCTAAGCCTATCTGTGGGTTCACACTCAAGCTGTTAGGCACTAAGGAGGTAAGGTAAACTGCTTTGTTTCTAGTGAGGGCTCTGTAAATGCTACTCTCTGCCTCCTTCTTCATGCCTGGATGTTCCTGGCTCCTAGCTTCTGGGAGAGCAGGGACATCATTTGGTATTAGCCATATGTGAGTTCAAATCTAAACCCTATTACTTTTTAGCTGTGTACTCATCTTAAGAGGGTCAATTACTCTGTCTTAGGGAACCTTGGGTTTTCTGGCTGTACCAGGAGCTATAGGAATAAATGCTTTTAATCACCTCCCAGGGTTGTTGTCATTAGGATAGAAGGAACAGGTAGGCCTGACATGAAGGGAGAACTCCATTCACACAAGTTCCCTGTACTCCTTCCTCTCTCTGTATTCATGAGGTCTCTGAGTCCAGCTGGGTCTCTCTTACCTCATACACGAAGGCCTGTCATGATGGGTCAGCACAATGGGCAATAATCCTGCCTTTTGGGCACGAAGGTTATGCAGAATGTAGCAATTAGGGAAGGTTGAATGGAGAGGGGCTGGACAGCTGTGGACAGACAAGTAGGCAAGCTGTTTCATCAACACTAATCTTACTACCTGCCTTATTCCCCCATCCAACAATTGGAGCTACCCCCTCATGGGTATGGTTTATGCCTAGGAACCCAGGTAAAGGAGAAGGAAGACCTAGTACGGCCAAAGCCCAGGAGAAAGGAAGTATGGCCTGTGGGGTCTCTCCCTCCCCTTGTGGGTCATTGGCCACCGATCCACGAGAACAAAGGGAGCAGAAGCTACGAATGGGGTCAGGATGGCCAGTGAGCACTGATGGAAGAAAGCCCTTCTGGGGAGGCAGATTCAGTGATACAGCTCCAGACTCAGTGAAACAGCTCCAGATTCAGTGATACAGCTCCATTTATTCAGTGGGGGTTAGGGAAAATATAGTGTGGAGGCAGCAGCCAAAGCCTCAGCTGATAGGCGCTCATAGTATGCTTTATTTACATGAAGTAGAGGGATCCTATCATCTGACTATGGGGCAATGCCTAATTATCATATAGAAAAAACCTGGGGGTAGTTTTTACTCCAGGTAACTATGCCAAAGGTCATGTTCCAAATAAGGTCAGGCATCCATGCTTGGCGGCACTTTCTAGGTAAGTCAGGCAGAGAGCAGGAGGCCCCCGATGAGAAAAGGAGTCCTTCCATATAGCGCTGAGCTCCTTATAGAGCTATCCGGACATGAAGGACTACAACCCTAGCAGCGGGGTCCCCCAACATCTCCCTGTTTTGTTTTACAATGGAGAAGTGTCATCACAAGCTTTAAGAACCAATTCATCTATCTCGGGAGAATCCAAAGTTTAATAATTGACCATGACCTCCTTGGTAGTAATTTTAGCAATGGTAGTAATTTGTCGGCGAAGACGTTGTATGAAACAGGGAGCAAGCATCAAAATGACACACAGCATGATCAGGGGGCTAACAAAGGGTAGGAGCCATGAAAACAAGGGATTACTAAACCAACCTAATTGTTTGGTGGGTTAAAATCTTGAAAATAGATCATTACAAAGTTTTTTCAGAGTATTAACATTGGTCTCAACAACATTTGATTCGTTTACAAAAAAACAGCATTCCTCTCCCAATACTACATACATCCCCCTGTGTTCAGCAGTTATTAAGTCCAGTGCTCTTCTGTTTTGGAGCACAACCCCGGCAGGACAGTTCATTTGTCGTTGGAGAGACTCAAGGCTGTCAGTCGTGGAAGCCATTGCCTGGTCCAGCTTGTCTCGAAAGTCTCCTGCCAGGTGATGAGTTTGTACAATAGCAGCAGTTGCAGCACCTCCGGCACCCAGGGAGAAGGCAAGTCCAAGTCCCACTAGCAAGGGGATGAAGATTTCTCTCTGCTAGCAGGTGTAAAGGAGGAGGGCAGCCTCTTCTTCCTCGAATAGTTACACCTGGGGAGTAATCATTACAGGTACACAAAAGGTGGACAAAGAGGAGTTAACACAGTGTTGGGCTTTTCCTTTGCACCATAGAAAAAGAGGAGGGGCAATGCATGCTGTCTTGGAGAGAGTAATTTTAGTGAGGCATTTGTAATGAGTAGGCTTACTCTTGCTGGAAATGCAAATTGGATAGTTAGCCAGTTGTTCGAACAAGGGAATATCCATCAGATAAGAGTCGGTGAAATCTTTTGTTTCTGGGTAAAGAAGGGTGGTATTAACTAGTACTGCTGTCAGTAAAGGTCTATTGCTGGATGCACAAAAGAAACAGAGGCATTAGGGTGGGTGGTGAAGGGAAGAAAGTTAGCAACATATTGAATGTATTGGCTCCAGGACATAGTTGATCTTATCTGGTCCTCTGTTTTTCTTGTAGAATAATATTATGATGAGTTAGCACAGGCTTAGCTGCAGGTACAAGCTGTTGAGAGATATGAAAGTCAGATGTAGGGTAGCTAGAGAATGCACCTGGGCAGAACTTTCCCGTTACTCTGATACACCAGAGATCTATACATCTTTCTAATGTGAAAACCCAGTAACACGATGACCCATGAGGGGAGGGAGAGACCCCACAACGGCCTTGCTCCCAAAGTCATTGTGTATTTGTCTGTGCAGGTAGACATTGAACAGATCACAGCTATGGTGATGTGGGGGGGGCGCTATATAGAATGCAACAGGAAGTCAGGGACATAGTAGAACAGGATGGCTTTACACTACAAAAAGTAAAGGACTCCAGAGGGCTTTTATTTATGTGGCTTATAAGTATTTATATTAAGAATTAAGACTAAGACTTCTATTTTTTAAATATTTTGTTTTTATTTTATGTGTATGAGTGTATTGCATGCATCTATGTAAGTGCACCCATGTCATGCAATTACCCACGGAGGTCAGAA